GTGGATCAGACAGGTCACCGAGTAGCAGAGCACTTGCTTACCAATCGCTACGGTTGTCATTGAAGGGCAGTTCGGTAAGCTTCGCAATGAAGTGGTTGTGTCTGCCGCGCTTGCCGATCGTTTACCTTATCTTTTTTCCAACAACTCTGAGCAGCTTCTCAAAGAGCAGGGTGAATCGTTCTTCACAGCTTAGCGTACATGAACCTCACGCGATCGCAAGCGCGGAAGCTTACGCAGGAACCTAATTTTGTTCAGTGATGTGAAACGCCACCTGCTGAAGAGACTAATCTGCGTGACCTTGGCGGCGAGTCGATGGTGCCTCGGGCAGGAAATTCGCTGGATGAGTCAATCGAGCCGCCCGTCGCGCAACCGTCTCTGTCGGCGGAGGAGAAGACATGACGCTTTTAGATGAGAGTGACAGAGTTGCTACACTTTCGACTGTAGTGGAAAGTTGGAGTGAGCTGTCGAGAGTAGATCGAGAAACACTCATTCGAAAGCAGCTTGAGGACCTCTAGATTAAAGCGCTAATGGAAAGCGTAAAGCTGGGAACAAAGAAAAAGAATGTTTCTTCCTTTGATAAGGCAGGGCTCCTGTATTAGAGCTACGCAAATATACAAGGTCGCAAGTCTGAGCAGCCCTTGGTGCCACAAAAGTATCGTCGCTAACTATTGCAACTGGCGCATAAAAACGCATGGGCAGGACACCTAGGTATAAAGAAGACCAAGGGTAAAATTTTTCTTGAGTTTTATTGACTGAACTCCTGGAAGAATATCGAGTACTTTTCACACTCATGCGACACTTGTCAGAGAGCGCGGAAATCTACGGACAAGTGGAAGGCACCCATGAAGCTTGTGCCAATTACCACAGAACCTTTTCGGCGCCTAGCAATTGATATCATCGGGCCATCGCCAGAGTAAAGGCTGCGTTGTCGGTACATCCTCACAGCCCTCTGTGCAGCCACCGAATTTCCAGAAGCGATACCACTTAAGGAGCTCAATTCCCCTCATGTCGTTGATGCTCTGCTATCTATATTTGCACGCGTCGTATTTCCTTCTGAAATCAAGTGCGACAACGGTAGTGTCTTCACCAGCTGCCTTACCTCTACCTTTTTAATTAAATGCGGAATAAAACCAGTGCACAGCTCGATTCATCACCCGCAATCTAATCCGGCAGAGCGTATGCATTCCGTTCTGAAAAGGATGCTTAGAGCTCTTTGCTACGACCACGAACGCGACTGGGAAGCGTGAATTCCTCCCTCTATGTTCACTTTGAGATCAGCTCCTCATGAGAGCACTGCTTTTAGCCCTGCAGAGCTTGTTTATGGCAGGAGTTTGAGAACACCATTGCGATTGCTACGCGAGTCGTGGTAGTGATTCGATGAGGCCCCTAATGTAGTTGGAGCCTAGGTTAAGTGAAGTCCTGGAGCCTAGGAGCCTAGGTTAAGTGAAGTCTGAAAGAGGATTTGAGGACGATTGTTTCCGAGTTTAAAGACGTGTTTGCGGACCGTCCCGGAAACACGACGATGATTGAACAAGATATCGAGCTAAGTTGTGAGGAGCCAATCCATAACAAGCCGTATCGATGTTTCCCTGTGCAAAGGCAGATCCTGAAAGAGGAGATCGATAAAATACGTCACTGTAATGAGCTATGAACGCGCTTGTGGTAGTATCTTTTTTTTTTCAATTAGTGTTCGTGTTACCTCAGTGCTATATACCTCGATTTGAGAAATATATAGGCATTTTATCATTCTTTTTTTGTTCAGGCGTGCATTGGGTAAAACAGGGCTAATTATTGTCGTTTAATTATATTGCTCTTTTATTTCGACACATCGTTTTAGTATTTTATGGCGTACAAATATTTATGAGGTGGCCAACTTAAGCTCAGTCATGCTCTAAATAGTTGAGTGCCCTGGTCTATCACTGAAATAATGTCATAAGTAATTTTGCTGCAATATTGCGGAAGAATTCAGCTAGCCGACATACATTTATCCCCCATGTCTTTCGCAGAGAAATTGCTCGAGTTTTCATCATTTCCTTTTACAGCGAAAGCTGCTATGAGATCATCTCTCGGGTCACGCGCATTTGTCCGCCACCGCCGCCGCCACTGCTAGTGTCCGTAACCCAGCACCAATGACACAGTGGAACTAGAGCCCGGGTCCGCTGGGTGCGAGCTCGGTGTTCTACCACTGAGCCACACCGGTGCTTGGGACTTGATGGTAAACTTGTCTTAGGCAGGATTGATGTCGGGAAAGTAATCGCGTTAACACGGCTTATAGAGAGTTTTAAAACAGCGAAAAAACAACCAGTCGTCGCACAATGCGAATAGCGTAACGAGTGGGTCGCCCAAGGCTCCAACATATAACAAAAGCTTGTTTTTGCTTCCCTATTACCTGTGGTGCATACCCACTTCAGCAATAATCATTCATTTGGCGCAAAATTCCTTGCAAATGTTTAGCGGATACAATTCTTTTCAGAAGAATGACGAGAAAGAGCAAAGCGAATGCCAGCCTACTGCCCAAAAATTTTTATTACAATGTCTTAGTGCATACCAAGCACGTGTGCTTGCAGTAGGAACCCATTGTGCTTTGAAAGGCTCTTCTGAAAGGCCGCTCTTCTAGCTTTCACGCTCACTGTGTTGCGCCTTCCGTACAGGCCTGACGTTTTTTTTTTTTTCATCTGTATTTTGATTATGTTTAGGTAGCAAAATGGCAATATCAGTATCGGGTTCATTTACTGCACTCTCTGCTGCACCCCAATCAAAAAGTTGCATATGCGGCAGGATGGCGTCTTTCTGAAACTACGTATTCGTCAAGGTGGACTAGTGGCCCCGCCGCGGTGGTCTAGTGGTTAAGGTACTCGGCTGCTGACCCGCAGGTCGCGGGTTCGGTTCCCGGCTGCGGCGGCTGCATTTCCGATGGAGGCGGAAATGTTGTAGGCCCGTGTACTCAGATTTGGGTGCACGTTAAAGAACCCCAGGTGGTCAAAATTTCCGGAGCCCTCCACTACGGCGTCTCTCATAATCAAATGGTGGTTTTGGGACGTTAAACCCCACAAATCAATCAAGGTGGACTAGTGAAGAAAGAAAAAATTGTAAATTTTCGCTGCTATGTAACGCGCAGTGTTTCATATCAGATACACCAAACCCTTAACGCGCGTTTCGTTATTTTTGAACAAGCAAAAGATCTAGATGTTCATTCTTACACTAGTCAACATATCCACTGAACCCCGTACAACTCTCAGCGCGAATGGGTGACCGTTCGTGTTGCGACTACTCTGCCTCTGTGATTACATTAGCACGTCTGCAATGACACTTGTTATGGTGTTACGATGAAAAACAGTGCTAATTTAATCAAAGGAAAGAAAAACGAAACCATTTTATTCGATTGACTGTAAGTTGTGAGCGTAGAACCCGGCACTCTTTTGACTTCGCTTGCGAATCAGGCAGTCCTTTTTTTTTTTGTTCTTTTCCAGCGCCCCCTATTCTACACCCGGCATACTCGTACGTATAGCAAGTTTGCGGCACATGCTTATCTGTTGTAGAGACATTGCACTTATAATTGCGGTGCAAATCTACTGAAAAAAAGCCTGTTTGAAAATTTATAAGCAAACTATTCACTTAGCCTCTCGTACACGTTGACCTGATATTCCCAAAAGAGTGCAAAGTTATATAAAAGCGCAAAACCATTTTTATCTCGCCACGTACAAGTTTCGCGAATAGCGTGATAGCCTTTCCGACCATACTAGGGAGCGCCGCGGTGCGAAAAAAACGGTGGGCCAAGCCCACCTCTGGAAACATGCTCTCTCCTTGCGATCGCGATGGCCGTAGAGCAACCCGCTAAGCTCCCGCCATCCCGGGGGCCATCATCCATGCATTCATCCGTGGGAAGCATTCGTCCCCTGACCATGTAATCGATTCCAGCACCACATTTTTCCGCAACATCATCTTCTTCACGCTACCGCATTAAAATTCGCACTGTCGGTGGAACATAAAACTCAGAATCACCTGTGGAAAATAGCCGCATTCTATAAGTCGCGCCATGCAGCCAGTCCTGCCAATAAATTCTGAGGCTCTTCGGCGAGGCACGGGCCTTCCCGACAGCTTTGACGTGAGCGATGAGCTCTGCGCTTCAAAGCGCTGAGTCACAGGGCGGCTCTTCTACCTTGTAATGTACGTGAGTGCTAAGTGCCGTTATTAATGTCACGACCTACGAATCATTTTCGTCATACACTCATGTTCGTCATACATAGGCAGTTAGACAGACAGACAGACAGACAGACAGACAGACAGACAGATATATAGATAGATAGATAGATAGATAGATAGATAGATAGATAGATAGATAGATAGATAGATAGATAGATAGATAGATAGATAGATAGATAGATAGATAGATAGATAGATAGATAGATAGATAGATAGATAGATAGATAGATAGATAGATAGATAGATAGATAGATAGATAGATAGATAGATAGATAGATAGATAGATAGATAGATAGATAGATAGATAGATAGATAGATAGATAGATAGATAGATAGATAGATAGATAGATAGATAGATAGATAGATAGATAGATAGATAGATAGATAGATAGATAGATAGATAGATAGATAGATAGATAGATAGATAGATAGATAGATAGATAGATAGATAGATAGATAGATAGATAGATAGATAGATAGATAGATAGATAGATAGATAGATAGATAGATAGCGGTCAAATGGCCACTGGCAAAGAAATGCGTTTTCAATACCTCTTGATATGAAACGAGTTTATAAGCAGCTCTCGATGTGCAGACATTTTCGTTCAATCCCACTATCCAAATCACTTCTTCGGCTCAGTTGGCATCCCTCTTGAGCTTTTGTCTCTATTACACTCAGTTTCCTCGTAACGATATATAAGTTGGCGAACTATCACTACCGGATATACTCACCTGAGCTTTCGTAAAACAGTGAAGCCGTGACGAAGACTCGGCTTTAGCTTCTTCCTTTACAGCCTATAGGATTCTTTTCTCCCGATTTTCGACCTACGAGGGAAAATGTGTTAAGAGACTGCACGTAATATTATTTTGCAAGCAGACATACGTCTTAGTTCTGGAATGATGAATTCATTATAGGTTGTTAAATATATTACACCAGGGTCACATTTTACCATAACTGATGATGGATTATAACATTTCAGCTTGTGCATTACTCATGTGCGCTTACATTTGCTGCTAGTGTCTTGCATGGGTGACCTAACATATGTTCTAGGGGTTGAGTGTTGAAAAAGACTAGGTTATTAGGAGGGATGGTACAGCAGTCTCAGACGTCGTTGAGTTCTGTCTGGAGGCTATGATGTATCACGCAATAACCAGCGAATACGAATAGTGATTAGCAAATGTTGTTAGGGCAAAAGTCTGTTAGGGCAAAAGTCGTTCACACCTGCGAGCAGCACCAGTCCCATGATAAGTTTCTAGCATCGGCCGTGGCTATAGTTAGTCTCAAGGTGGCTGGTCACACATAGTCTCTAATGAACGTATGAATAGCGAAAAATTGCAGTTTCACCCCAAAGGCGCAACAATGAATGCTATAGAAAACTATTGCAAGGACATGCAATGCTAGCCTAGTATTACATTCCTAAAGTGACTGTCTGCCGTCCTTCACTGCATTTTTTTTTTCACTTCAGTTTCAGCTGCCTAATGGGCTGCCAGTGAAAGTGGAAAACTGAAACCGCGTTGGGGTATTGCAGGCTTTATGGAGTTTTATTTATGAACAATAATAGAACAAATACTTTAGTGGTCTTTCAAGGCTCACTCACACTCTTTTCTTGTTCTTCTGAGTGGAGGTGGACACCGTGGTCACGTTTCTCCGCCGTTTGCAGGCAGGCATGCAAACTAGCGAACACGCCACTGGTAGTGCCACCGGGCACCTGTTTCAATGCATAAGGAAAAAAAAAAATTTTTATCCGGCGTAACCTAAGCTGCTTCAAGTGCGTAAATTGCAATCTCAAGTTTTACGTGTTTATTTTTAAGTAAAATAATCAACCTGTTGTGAACTTTTGCATTACCAGTTGATTGACCAAATCGGTGTTGGGTGACGCTGGCGGTCATTTTTTGTCGACTTTCAACATCAAGTTACAAATATAATTTCTTCATATGGGACAAATGCATGCTCTTTGCCGCCGATGGTATGAACGATCTTCTTCATTGCGCCACAATAACAAATATTTGCCCGAGTGATACACAGTCCTTTTAAAGGGGCCCTGAAACACTTTTTTCGATCTCTGTAACAAACAAGCGCGCCATGTTTGAATCAACCAATGGCTGATAGATCGGTAATTCACGTGTAATTTTCTGCTATATTTCGCCATTTGTCGAGAGAAGAGCAAGCCATTTTAGCTGAATTCGATAATTTATTGTGAATTCCAGGTCATGTGCTGTGCTATATTATTTGGTTTGCGTATTGTTGGGAGCCTCTACGACCAATCGGCAGCGTTTTCTGACCATGCCCAATAAGTGTTGCAGGGCCGGGTAAAAAAAACACAGTTGCTGTAGCGAGCAAATTCACCGAAGTGCGAACTATGGCTTTTACGAATGACTTACCAAGTTGTCCACCAGCGGGTGGGCATGAGCATGCATCTGACACACACACACACACACACACACGCGCGCGCACACACACACACACGTGTGTGTGTGTGTGTGTGTATGTGTGTGTGTGTGTGTGTTTGTGTGTGTGTGTGTGTGTGCACATTTATAACGCGGCATCAGCCTGACTATGTCCATTGCAGTACAAAGGCCTCTCCGATGTTTGTTCCGCCAGTCAACTCGGTGCGGCTTGCTGATGCCACCTTATACCCACAAACTTCCTTATCTCATATGCCCACTGATAAAAGGCGCGACGCCAACACGGTCCCGAAGACGCCACTGCAACAAACTCATCGCTGCCAGGATCCCTAGCTCCTTGGTAGCTTATGTTCCTCAGCTCACGACTGCTTCTGCGCAGGGCTGATAGACGAGCGGACAAGACAACGGTGAGTCAAGGTAAAGTTTGTGTACAGCATAGAAATAAAGGCGTTATGTATTCGTCCCTGGGGCTGAAAGCTTAGGGACTCAAAGACCCGAGATGTCTTCTCTCTGACGCATACGTCGGCTCCTCTCTGAGGCATAAGTCTGACGCATAGGTCGGCACTTTTTTATAAGCCCTGGGTCACCCATTACGTCACCAACGTCCAATCGGAACCGCCGCTAGTGGTGTCAGCTTCTTTAAATCTGGAACCGCCGTTAGGTGAAGTCATGATCCTGAAATCCGGAGCCGCTGCGCTGGGTTACACACAAGGCCGAGTTATGTTGCCACGCATTGCGTAAGACTCGCCAGACTGGATGGCGCCGCTTGCTTCATCGTGCCCGTGGGCTGATGGAGCTTGCCGTAGACTGGATGGCGCCGCTTGCTTCATCGTGCCCGTGGGCTGATGGAGCTTGCCGTGCGCTGCTTAAGACAGACCGGCGCCGCCTCTTGATGACGTCGTTGAGTTGAAGTCAGGTGGGCTTGCTTGCTGGCCTTGACACAGATTGCCTTTGCAGAAGCAATGACGTTCGGTGTGGGCTCCCATGCGTAACAGCACCCTCTATGCCAGACAATGCGCCGGAAAGACGAGCTGCTTCCACGTGGCTCGGATGTGGGACGCGCTCGTTCGCCAGGCCCCTCCAGGTTCGCCTCCAGGGCCATGGGGATAATGCAGCTCTAGGCTCAGTTCCATGAACACATCCCATTCTTGAGGACAGATCTCAGCTTCATTGGCTTGTCGGCAAAACTTGTGGACTAGCTTCACTCGTCTCTTCTGATGAATTTTGGTCTCTGCACTTGTCGATTGTTCTGCAACTTGTCAAGAACGGTTCAATCACAGAGAACACACGACACAAGCGAGGGCCCTCGGTTACCCGACAGAACACCAGACAAAATATAGTACAATATACCTAGCTACGTGTCTATCGGAATTTCATTCCCTCTACACCAAGAGGCACATGTGGGACACAAGACTTAAAAGAGACCTGAAATGTTTACACGTACAGCAACGTAATGAAATAGAATACAACAAAGTTGGCGCCTTGAGGCCATGGTGAGGACAAAGTTTTGCCCCGACTCACCATTGATTGATTGATTGATTGATTGATTGATTGAATTATTGATTGATTGATTGATTGATTGATTGATTGATTGATTGATTGATTGATTGATTGATTGATTGATTGATTGATTGATATGTAGGTTTTAACGTTTCAAAACCACCATATGTATATGAGAGAAGCCGTAGTGGAGGGCTCCGGAAATTTTGACCACCTGGGGTTCTTTAACGTGCACCCAAATCTGAGCACACGGGCCTACATCATTTCCGCCTTTATCGGAAATATCCGACTCGCCAGCGAAAGACCAAGAGGTGGAGAAGGTACTAACTAAAACGCACAGCCCAATGCGTCTGCATTAGCGTTCAGCTTTCGTTTCTTAAAGCGAACGTCTAAGTTGTGCTGTTGGAGTATCATGCTCCACCTCAGTAACCAGCCACTTTTAGGCGACATGTTATTTAACCAGGTTAGAGGACAGTGGTCCGTTTCGGCCACAAACCTCGAACCGGAGACATAACAGGCTAGCTTTTGAACGCCCTACATGAAGCAAGCACATTCCTTTTCAGAGATTCTGTATGCCTTTTTACTTCAACTGAGTTTTCGACTTAAATACAAAACTGGCCTTTCATTACCAGCATTCTCTTCCTGGCACAATATAGCTCCTATGTCGCGATCACTCGCGTCGCATAGAATAGCACACCACTTAGAGAAATCGGGTGCCGTGAAAACGGACTTATCGCTCAGTGCCTGTTTCAGCACGACTCGTAAATCCTCAATTTGTTCTTTCCAGCTGTTTGAGATGGTGGCGACATCGTCCAGATACGGCAGAGCGAATTCAGAGAGGCCATTAGGAACACGGTCCACTGAGCCTGAAAAACCAAATGGTGCATTTTTCAATCCAAAGCTAAGCATAAGTGGACGATGCATTCCGAATAAAGAAACGAACTTGGCATAGCAGCTAGCGCACTTTCTAAGGGGAACTTGCCCATACCTTCGCAAGAGGTCAAACATGGAAATATGACTAGACTTTGAAACAGTTTCTACCCCCTCCTGTAGATTTGATATCGGGTAAGTTTTGTCTCAAGTTATGGCGTTAAGACGCTGATAATCGATGCATGGCCTCGGATCATTTTCCGGCACTTGAACCAATATTAGAGAGAATGTATAGTCACTCTCGCTCGGTACTATTACTCCCGACTCCAGCATTTCATTCGATCTCCTTCTTCATGATTTGATTTTGCACAGGGAACATCAATACGACTTGCTATGTATTGGCTCCTCACAAGTTAGCTCGATATCGTGTTCAATCACGGTCGTATTTCCGGGATGATCCGAAAATGCGTCTTTCATCTCGGAAACAGCCCTCCTCAAGTCCTTCTTCTGGACTTCACTTAACCTAAGCCCCAGGTTCAACCGCTCTAAGATTACATCGGATCTCCTTTCGATTACATTACTAGAACTCAAAATTTCTGCTCCTTCTTCCTCTGAAGCATTAAAACACCTATTTATGACTGCTTGATGTTGGACGTATGGTTTCATAAAGTTAATGTGGTAAATTTTGGTCAGCGTCTTCTTAATTTTACTTCATAATTGGTATAAGAAAGCTTTGATATTACTTTGGTAGGCCTATTCCAATGTACCTCAAGCTTGTTTCTTTTCGACGGCCGCAGCATCATTACCTTACTACCCACTTGAAAGGTGCGTTTCTTCGCCGATTTGTCGTAGTAATCCTTCGACAACATTTGTGCAGCCTTCATGTGGCTTTCCACAAGATATTTTGTTTTTCCAAGCCTATGAAGGAGGTCTAGAACATACGCAACTACATTAGGGTCCTCATCAAGTCCCTTTCAGGCCTCGCGTAGCATTCGCAATGGTGTTCTCAATCTCCTGCCATACACAAGCTCTGCAGGGCTAAAACCAGT